TCCGATTAAGAACTTTTTTGATTAATCAAGTATAGCTATATATAAGTCTTGCAATCTTTCAGGGGCGTTTATGAGATTATTCATTGCAGCTTCAATAACAATATATATGATTTTGATTATATGATCTTGCATTACCAATCAGAACCAAGTATTTGGAAAGGTTGATATATTAATGTACATGAACGTTATTAATAACATATTTAACATATTTCATCATATTTAATTTTTGACATATTTAATCAATTTTTACACTTTATTCTGAAAGATGTCCAATGGCATTGGCATTGGCAATGCTGATTTTTTTAATAGTTTCAGGTTTTTCTTTTTTTGGCGGGGAGAGGAAATGAGAAAAAAAGCGGAACTGCAGATTCGACGGGTGCTGTCAAAGTTCTTCGCGTTGATTTTGATTCTTGGGTACCTCGCAATAAATTTGGCGCTGACTACAGTATTATAATGTTAATATTTAAAATTTAATGAAGACCACGCATTAAACTAAATTCTGAATGAGTGCAGCTGGAAAAAGCATCCTAAACTTCCAGTTGCGAATTAATGACAAATACTCTGAATGACATGTGAAATATATTTATTAACAATCCGACTACCATGAGCTCCAGTTGTATATCAGAGCTTGCTTATTTAGTTTTTTCTTCAGTCTCTTGCAAGATAAATCGCCTCTTTTCAGCCCGACCTACCCATGCAGTACCGATTCTTAACTCTATAACATAGAAATACAGTGCGTATAAAAATTTTTTACACCATTGTTAAGTTTATTTATTTGCCTTTCAAATGACAAACATTTACGCTCCATTCTGTTAAAAAATGAACGAATATTGAAAAGTCGATAAAAATTACATTCTTCCGCCGATGGGAATTGGATGATTTTCTTTTGAAAATTTGTCAAACAAGGCTTTGAAATGCTAATTATCACTGAGAAAAGAAAAGCAAATTTATCGCAAACTTCTTCTTGTGCAAAACAAGCGCTTTGTTCACTGAATTAAGTTTGCATTATATCTTTTGTCTTTGGGTGTCACTTGAATTCCCATAAGCGGAAAATTTTGATATCAAGCAACCATTTTTAGCAGATGATAACTTGGTTATTTCTGGTCGTATTGATATACAAAAGATCGAAAACCTAATAGGCTAGTCTTTATTGCCATACAAAAATTAAATCATTTACTGTAGTATTTTATACACAGCAGTCAATATTCTCCCCCCCCCCGTCAAAATCTAAATGACCACAGAATAGATTTTGACAGCGGAAAAATTATTAATTGATCGAGGGAAGCAATATATTCAACGCACCACTTTGCGTCCTAGGCATCTCTGCTTGATTTGTTCGGTTAAATGCAGGTACCAGTGTTGTTCGACAGCGTCATTGTTAATTTTATACATATAATACACAATCCTTTATGGTATCAAAAAAATGCAACTGTTTAATTTTTCAACTTCGTAATGGTGGAAAATCGGGTTGCACAAAATGAATGAAAAACAGCCTTCTTCTGCCTTCACATTAGCGAAGGCCACACACTGGCGCATCAGTTTTGTTCTTTGTTCATCAGCCAGTATGTTCATAGTGCTGCATGGTGGCATTTCGCTCGTAAACTAGAACCTTATCCTGCCCGGCACATTATTTGGTGAAACAGGTGTTTAAACGCTTTTTTGTACGTTTGATCAAGCCAAGCATAAATTATTGGATTGCAGAGGCTGTTAATCTTAGGAAGGATATGTATTGTGCTTTGAAATATTTGCCCACGAAGAAAGTGGTTTAATGACCAGATATTATTTTCAACAATAACACTTGGATAATATAGGAACAACAAAAGCGAAACATGGAATGTTCCCCAGATAAGTATGAACATTCCCACAACAAGCAACAGCATTCTAACCACTCTGATATCTTGGCGAAGGGTGGTTCGTTGATTATGAACATTATGAGTTTGACTCAGCCTACCAGTGCGCAGCATTTTTTGTCGTTCATGAGAAACGGCGAAAATTATTGAGTACATCACCAGCATGATCAGGACGGGAACAAAAAAACCAACAACGGCCACAGCTGTCATAATTTTCCTGAAGTTCAAATTGCTCACGTCCCTGTCGCTAAGGAGAGTTTCTTCGGAGGATGAGTGCGGAATGATGAGAAACGTTGCAAAAGCAATCGCAAATATAAAAATCGCAAAAATGATTTTCAATGATGTTGAAGTTGTCATTCGTGACTTATATTGAAGAGGTTTGCTGATTTTAAGATATCGGTCAAAACTGATGAACGTTAACGTAGTAATTGATATTGTATACGATGCGAATTCAATCCACATTTTAAAGCGATGGAGGTGAACTGACAAAGCGCGTCCTTTCGCCTCCAGATTTAACTCGCGCATACGTAATGGTACTACAAACAAACCAACCAAAAGATCAGCGACAGCCAGACAAGCAACAAAATATTTATTTGGTTGATGAAGACTTTTTTCTCTCCATGTTGCAACCAAAACCAACGTATTTCCCAAAATTGTAAATACATCGATAAATATGTAAATAATGCGCTCTGATAACTTTAATTTGTCCAGGGATGCCATATATTCCGACAATTCAGTTTGCGTCCAAGGCATCTCACTTGTGTCATTTGACAGCGTCATTGCGACTTAATTCTTGCCCTGTTGTATGGATGAATTTATAAGATTCACGAAGGAATAAACAAGAAAATTTTGCGGCTAAACCCTGACGCACTCGAATTGAACTGTGCAGTTTTAAACTGTTTAATAAAAATACATGAAATATGTTGGCTTCCGATGACATTTATCACCCCTCCCCCCCAAATCGTTTTCAACTCAATATGCATGAACATGCAGGTAATTTCTGATTAATTTTTCTTATGACGAGTGATGCAGCTCTGTTTATCTACTTGCGTTTCGAGAAATTTTGACTTTATATAAATATCTATGTATGCGCACATGAAATGATTAATTATACAACTAATGGTTTTAACAATACACGTATCTTTGGCGTATGCATGTACATTCATAACTATAACAGTATAAGTATATATACCTCTGTGAATTGATTCTCCGCGATTATATTTGTGTTGTTATAGTCTACTCTATTCTCTCCCGTATGATTTATTCTAGCTAGTAGCGGGCCTTTTGCTTCAAACGCCAATTCCGAACTTCTCTGCGGTTATTCGTTTGTGATTAATCAAGTAGTATATAGCTCGTTTATATAGCCTATAGGAGTTCATTTTCATCAATACAACTTTAATATAACATTATAACTCTTGACTGCATGCGTGCATGATTATAACACCGCAGAAATTTGTGTTTATGAAGTTAAAAGCCGAAAATCTAATAACTGGTTCGCAATTGCGCATTTCTGTATCGCTATCAAAGAGAAAACTATAGAATTACTTTAAAAAGTTCAATTTTTTTCTGAAATGCATTCTGCAATCTATTAACAATTAACTCATCATACACTTCTGGTCATTTTGATATAAAAAGTACGAGGTTATTAATTCAGACAATTTTATAGTCGTTTTTGGCCGTGTGTGAGCTTCAAATCTTTTGTTTTTTGTGCAAGACATATTTTGTTATATAGCTATATAAATTTTTTTCTCACCAAGCTTGAAGGCTATTTAGTATTTCGAATTATGTATTGAGAAGCTAAGCATTGAGAAGTTCTACCGATTCCCGCGGTGTCGATTGCATGATGTATTATACACAATACAAGGATGCAGGGCAGTTCGAAAAACCGTAAATATAGCTATAGCAGCCGCGGCCTACAAAATTATAGCAAGCTATAAACAAAATGTTTTGAAGCAAACCCCAGCATTATTTTCGTGAAATTTAGTTTATCCCTAAATGCCTGCATGCTCACTGTCGTACAGGGATACGTTTTTCAAACTCACTTCAATAATGGATAACTTATTAATAATTTTCTTCAAATTTCTCATCAAATACTCGCTTTCTTCCATATGAGGGGGAGCATCTTTGATCTTTTAAACAAATTATTTGTAAGCTTTTAATTAATATAATAGATAATATAGGCCTGACCTAGTTATTGACTGCAGTAATTGAATGAGAACTTTAATAGAAACGAACGATCCTCAGCTATATATACACCACTTTCACTACCAGGCCCGGACGACAATCGCATGCCGTTTGTTCGCAGTATAACTGTACTTAAGTATGTAAGTATAGCATTCTGGAATCGACTTCCAGCTAGTCTCGCCAGACATCATTCGGTGAAACATGTTGGTGTTTGATCGAGCGAATGCATAAATTATTGGATTCCAGAAACTGTTTAATCACACTGTGGTTTAACTTGGGAAGCATGTGTATTGCCATTTGAAATATGTCACTCACGTGGTACAAATCGACCATTCAGAACGTTTACAAAAATTGAATATTATTATTATCATTATTATTATTACAACGGTTTTAACGATATGTTTAACGTCTACGCAAACTATGCAAATTACATTACCTCTGTTAAATTATTCTTTTTGACATTTCTTGACTCGTGTCGGTGTTGTTTCTCTACTATATCCTCTCTTTTTCTCTGAAGCAAGCTAACGTCCCATTCGGAACTTTTGTGATTAATCAAGTATAGCTAAGTCATGAAATCTTTCCGGGGCGTTTATGAAATTTTTCATTGTAGCTTCAATAATAACAGTATGATTTTGATGATACCAATCAGAACCAAGTACATGCACGTGATTAATAACATTTTCACATGTTTAATCAATTTTTACACTTTATTCCGAAAGATGCATGTCCAATGCTGTATGAATAGGATGTTTTAATAGTTTCAGGCTTTTCCTTTACTTTCTGGGGGGAGGGAATGAGCAAAAAAATGGAACTGAGATTCCTACGGTTAGTAACTTAGCTTGTAGGTACACCACGTAAGTATTTAATACTGTATTAAATATTATGAAATACTTACGTGGTGTACCTACAAGCTTTATTCATGTCACCATGCAAACATTCAAGAATATTATTTATACCCTAGTTAGTTCATATATGGTCGACGGGTGCTGTCAAAATTCTTCGCGTTGATTTTGATTCTTGGGTAGCTATACTTTCCGTGCTCTATACCTCGCATTAATTTGGCGCTGTCTACAGTATTTTTTAAAATTTTATATAAAAAGACTATTAAACTAAATTCTGAATGAGTGTATAGGTGGGGAAAGGCATCCTAAACTTAGTGTTATTAAAAAGTCCGGTTGCATGCGAAATACTATTAATAACATGCGAAAATAACAATCATACCCTTGGATCGAATCGCATATCAGAACTTGCTTGGTTTTGAATATGCACGTATACAGCTACATATATAATTTTATATTTTCCAACATTTTCAGTTTCACTAAATCTGCTCTCTGCAGCCCTACAACCCAGCACGATAAACCCCCTGTAGTTCTTTATACCCCTTATAGTAATTTAGTTTAATAACAATATGGAGAGGAATTGTTAGGTCTATTACAAGCAATTTAATAAACTACTATAGGAAAACATGTATGGAGAAACATCGAAATATAATACGCATATACGGGGCGTGCAATACATATACATATACTGAATGCAAGTCTGCAATCAAATAAAAATTACTCAAGCGCATGTGAGTGGACGCTTCTACAGCTATCACTTGACATACAAGCTATCCAATAAATAACAAGTAATTTGTGTGAGAAAAAAGTGTATTCCTTGAGTTGCTTCAGTAAACAAAAACGTACTTTTACTTGAAGTGTGTGGTTAGAAACCATGCATTCATGCATGTTTTTGGCAGCGGTTTCCGTTAACGTACCCGGTACAGGACTTTTCGCTGAAACCGATGCGCCATTTCACCTCTTCTTAACATGATTTGAAGAACTGTTATTATTGACCTCTCAGAGTATTTCTGCGCGAGGAAAAATAGCAAAACGTTACAGTGAATTAAAACGCTATACAAGCATCCATGCATGCACTTGTGTATATATAAATAAAAAATATAAAAATTGTCAATAAAAAACATTGTCAATAAAAAAAACTTCTATAATTAATTATTTTTTCAATATCAAAGAACTTTATTTGAAAGAAATTCAACTGTATTTGAAAGAAATTCAACTGTATTTTTATATTAGGTTATTCAAATTGCATGAATAGCATTAGTATTGAGGTCAAAGCGGTGTAATACTCTGCAACCGTGCTTGCAACTTGCCAGAATTTACCATTTCAAGAAAAAGTAACCATTTCAAGTCATACCTGTTTCAAAAAGTCCTGAATGATACGCTGTTCAGAAACCTAAGTAGAAAAGACTTGCTGTTATATTCAACATTGGATAAAGAATGATAATTATTTTACTACATTCCCTGCGTTCTCTGTTGAAAGCAGGAAAACATTTAGCAATACTGCATCACAATACCTGTGCGCCAATAGGAAATCTTCTCTTCAACTGCCCCTCTATTTGCCTTATTTCCTCGACATCTTGTTGAGGGGTGAATCCATCAGCACCTTCAGTAAAACATTTAACATAAAATTCTTTCAAGGCAACATCAGTAATTAATTCATTCGTTCACATCTATCAAAAGAGGAAAATCGCACATAAAATCACAGCGCAAGTGTAAACGGGCCTTAAGATTCTTCCTTTTAAATGTCTTTCCTAAGAACAATTGCCCAACACTTTTCGAGACAGTGGAGTTCCCGGATCGCATGTTACTATGTAGAATTGTTTGAAACAGAAGTGATTATTCGATCGAGGTTATGGAAGATTACCTGCCAAACTTCCTGACATGGCTGCGTCAAGCGTGGACACCTGAAACAATCGCAATGCCTCGTCAACGTCTGCTTCGGTGGCAAATGGCGCTAGTCGCATCTTCGCCAGCGACTCAGAAATACGCACAATGGCTTCTAGTTGTCTGAAATAAACAGCACATCAATTATACACATAGCGAAAATCCAAATGAAACATTTACCTGTTAAACCGAATACAACTTGTGTAAGCGTTCTCTCATTGTAGGGGTTGGAGTATTCCTTCCTATTAAACCATAGGAAGCCCAGACTTTGACTTGCGGGTGTGATACTCGCGCGCGTGTCGCGCTTACGTTGTGTACTTCATCTATGTATTATGTCATAATATATAGACGAAGCAAACAACGTAAGCGCGAAACGCGCGCGAGTATCACACGCGCAAATCAAAGTCTGGGCTGCCTATGATTAAACATGCCAGTTCAATGCATGCATCTCGCGCCCAGGATGGCTTGAAAATTGCTTTAGAAATTTTTGGTTATAAGCCAGGTGATTAAAATCAGGAATTTGCAAAATAAAAATGAAAAAAAGGTCTGCTTGGTGAAGTTCGGCAGAGCATGATCATTATTTTTTAAAGTTACCTGACGGTGATGGGAATGTTAATTCTCTTATTTGTATCGTTCTCGTGGTCCCTCGCACCACTTCTCATCAGAACGTAACGATTCTTTAATGTTTCTGCAGCCTCGGATGAAATTCTCGGACCACATTTTCTGGAAAAAATTCGAATGAATTATGCGCTGTTACTGAAGTGACCAAATGACCACTGAATCACCTGACTAGTATTGAGGCAAATTAAATTGCTTAAATTGGTTTGAAACTCTGACGAAACTAAAGTGTCTTTCACTCGGATGGCATGTACGAACACAGGATTTTGATAAAGTTATTCCTACCGTTTACAATATTCGACGTATTTCTTAAGAAAATTCAGACTCAATTCTCCTTCTTGGTCTTGCGTTGTCTGTGCTGCGTTCAAGTGCACTTGCATGACATGTTTTGCTAGTCGCTAAGAACAACACAATATTTCTATATCAGGGAAGGCCCATCAGCACAATTATTCGTACATACACAGTATATTGTCAGGTTAGAATTATTTTGTCCCATGTACACAAATGCCTGCTAGATCACCAAAAGATAAAAGGAAAACAGCATCTGTTTTAATTTCCTTCGTGTGAAATTTTGCTCTTAATGGATCAAATTCCTCCCCACTTGTCTCTTATTATCCCCAACTTACCATATCCTTGCTCTGATCGTGGACATCTTTCACAATAAAGATCATGTCAAAACGAGACAAAATCGTTGGCATAAAGTCGATATTCTGCAACAGAGATGAAATCAAAATCTCTTATACTATGCAGGTTCAGGCTTATCAGACAGGTGATGGGCGCTATTCTGTCACACACGTTTTGATGACAAAGATCTGATCGATCGCTACTAGAAATCAGTAATAGCTGGATACGTGGACGGCTTGAAATGAAAACGGGTCGACATGTTACCTCTTCACCTTTGGTTTCATCCCATCTTCCAAACACAGAATTAGCAGCGGCGAGAACTGAGCATCTTGTATTTAGTGTTGTTGTAATACCAGCCTAGACAGATTTTTAAAATAGAACAGCGGTTTTATAATGATGTCTACCAGATTTGAAAGCTTGAATAACTAGCTAAATATCCGTTCTTTCAGGATTCCTGCCTTTCCTGGAATGATATAGATAGACCCCACGAAAATGAAGCATGACTTTAAACTGCTGTCTTGGAAATATTCAAAATCCTACTCAGAGGTATAGAATGTGAAAAGAAGCTACTATCTATAGTCTCAGTAGTCTAGGCTGAGTTAAAAGGTTTGTTTTAAGAATTATAGGAAGGAGTTTACCTTTGCTATTGAAATAGTCTGTTGTTCCATGGCCTCATGAATCGCCACTCTGTCGTCCTGCCTCATCTAAATATACATTATGTTTATTGGTTTCAAAACCTGATTTTACAATTTGAACCGGCATAAAAGGGCAGCTGTTAGACAGAGTGAAAGAAACTTTTCCTGCACATCATGAAGAAACTGCATGCTTTCAATTCCTACACCTGTATCAGCTTGAAAACAGTGGATAGTAACACACACACACCTTGTCAAATTCATCAATACAAACAACTCCACCATCGGCCAAGACCATTGCTCCTCCTTCCATGATGAAATTTCTGGAAACGGGGTCACGTATTACTGACGCAGTCAATCCAGCCGCACTACTCCCCTTGCCAGAGGTGTACACCCCTATGGGGGAAACCTTCTCCACAAACTTTAGCAACTGACTCTTCGCAGTTCCGGGATCGCCAAGCAAGAGTAGGTTGATGTCACCTCTTCGTGTTAAACCATCTGGTAACCTAAACGATGAGTGGAATAATTAGATAAAAATACTCTCCCAGAGCTAAGATACATTACATGTGTCATATGACCGTATAGGCAGTAGGCTCGTGCCCAATGGGAAACTTGGGTATCAAAATTTAGTATTCTGGTATTCTAGGAAAGATGGTAATCATGGTATGCAAACCCTCAGCACATATGCTGTCCTTCAACCTTTCAAAAAGACTTCGCGCAATTCGGGGTAAACGCGCGCTATATTTTCGACATTTTACAACATTTTGCTACTGAACTTTCCAGTATACTAGGGAGTTCGAATTTTGCGCAATTGCAATGGTTTTGTGCCGACTCAGAGTACAGTCTGCACATATTGAATGCTAAAGCAAAAAACATTATCATTATCATTATCATCATCATCATCATCATCGCACCTTTTCCTGGATCCCCCAAATAGCAGGCAAGCAATTGCTTTCTTGATATTCTCGCTACCATAAATAGATGGTGCAATACTTCCTGCAATAATATCATAAACATCGGCTCTTGCCGCCACGCGTCGGAATTCCTCTTCTTCCTGCATATCCACGGCATTAGGAGCACTTCTTCCCGGGCCGTCTGTGTCCACTTGAATGCCAACAACACGCAGGTATGGACGACGTAAACCAACACCCACATTCTCTTTCTTGTCCTAAAATCGACGAGAATAAAGTTTATCATTTAATTAGGAGGTACAATACTCTAAAAATGAACTCTAAAATCTTCAAAAAACCTAAGTAGTAACCACTTAGCTGGTATGAAAACTGGAACAATTTTCAGGGTGGTTGAAATTGACACACCAATTTGAGGTTTTTATGTGGGGGGAGGGAAGGGGATTAAATCATAAACATTCAGCATTGCATTCTACTGAAATTATTGTTTTTCATTTTGACTTTCCTATCAATTTCAATATAAAGTTTTATATAGTGAAGCTTGTAAAAACACTCAATATAACGGTAATACTGCTTAATTTAACCCTCCAACTTGGGCCAGTACTCTAAGATAACTAATTTATCGAGGTGATTTATTATACTGGCATAAAAAGGCTGATCAGTGTAATACTTGGTAAGTGTATCAGCACCTTTTTATTCAGCTTTCCAGATTTCTTTATGGAGTATATACCCATAACTGTGACCCTATTACCAGGAACAACTTTCTCTGTCAAATATCTGAAAAAGAGTAAAGACTAAACAAAACACTTCTCAATGTTTCAACCTAGGGGCCTTGGAGAGTTGGTAAGACTCATGTAACTCTCCTGAAAAATTGACAAATTAAGGCCTTTAGCTCAAAATGTTTAGAAGTGTTTTTTCTATTTTAGGCAAAAATATGTTGTTAAACCACATGTTGTAATGAGATTTTCTTAAAATATCCCTTGGCCCCGCTTACCTATCACAATATAGCTGCATGTGCCGAGGCATCTCCCCCTTGGGAACTGCATCAGGCAATTCCTGCAACTTTAAAACTTGAAAATCAACACATTTACATTTATCAGGGATGATGAAGAATGGGTCCAGTGGACACGGAGGACGGCCAGCTTGTTCTCTAAAGTTTGGAAAAATTCATGGTTATACAATAGAAAACTTGCATATATATACAGATGCATTATACACTAATTTGTTACCTAACATCTAAATTAATCACCACAGCTGGAAATAGCCTACATTCGTAAAACTTCAAAGTTTGGTAGTGGAATATTGTAAAGTACTAGAAGTTGAATTGCATTGTAACAAATGTACCTAACCTTGTTGTGTATGAGCCATGAACACAATTAAAATGTATCCAAAGAATGATTTCTAACATGGTTACTGTCTATATTTTTTTTGACTTGACAAATTTGCTATAATTCATGAATCCCTTTTTTAGCTTCGCTAGAGTTTGGTCATTGTGCCAAACTAAGATTTTTTTAGTTTCCACATAATGCCTATCATACAACTGTCTGGGTCACTACAATCAATTGAGGACGTATACCATATGTCAATATACTAACGTTGGACACTTTCTTGGCATAGTATAACCCTCCAATCCTGGTCTAAGGGCAATATGAGGCAAGGTGTTCCTGCAGGCTCGACACTGAAGTGTTATCCTTGTTGCCTTTGCACGAATTGCTGATGCACTGATTATAATGCCAGAAACCTTCACAAGCTTTGAAACATGATCAGACTAAAAAAAGAGCAGGATATGTGTGTAGATCAGCAACAAACATCTGGGCCTTTGACAAGAGAATTGGTAAAATCGGATTGGATTTATGATCCATAAATTTATCAGAGCTTAGGGGTGAAACCATGATGAAAGCCTTGATACAGGAAGGCACGATTCATATGAAAACCTGGATGGAAACTTTAGAAGAAATGTTGGAAGTCTGGGGGGTGAAGATGTCAAAAGAGGCTGTCTAGCAATCCATTAGCATCATAACCATATATATACTTGCACAGTCCATTGAAAAACAACTATATAAAAGCCTTGATACAGGAATAAGGCAGGATTGACAGGAGGTTCTTTGCAATTTACTAGCACCCTTTCCATATACATACCTTTAAGTATCTTATTCCATCAGGGTTTGCATCAGATTTCAAGGTAACTTGAATATCCTGAATTTCTTCCTCACCCTCAGGTCGTGGTCGGGTTGATTCATCTGCTGCCTCCTTTGCACCTTCTTCGAACTAAAAATTGACAAAACATTTGTTGACATGTGGCAAGTAGAAAAAAAGGTTGTACTCTTTATTAACAAATAAGAGGCTCATTTAATGTCTTCTAGTATTAAACAACTAAATTAAATTGCCCTTAACAACAGTCAGACAGAAACTCAAATAGTTTTATCAACCCGTCAACTAATAATGCCATCAGCCTGAAACATGAAGTTCTATTATTTGTGTTTTTAGGCATCTCCAAACGTCAATTGATCTTAGGCTGCGTCCAGACTGGTGCCCATCACTTTTTCAGCGGCGCCTAAGTCTTACATGACGCTTCCAAATGAAATTAGGCATGGTGCCCAAGAATGGGTACTACCTTCTGAGATAGTACCCAACAAGGGCATGGTGCTCAGAATGTTTTATGAACCAGTTTTGACTTGGGGCACCGGTGCCAGGCACTTGCCTATAAAGTATCCTACACTAGTTAGAAAACCCTGGTTGAAGTGTATAACCATACATAATTGCACAGGTATATATGACAAGATAAATTGGTCATGGCCAGATAAACTGTCAAGATTTAATTGATGATTGAAATTAAGATACTTATAGATCATTAATAACCACATGACTTGTGTGCAATCTAATTGCAATTTTGTCAATTTCCTTACCAACGGCAAGTAGACAGAAGGCTGCTTAACCAGTTTGTCCGATAATGCTTCATCAAAATTTCTCAAATCCTGGATATCAACCTCCAATGTATAGTCATGGAGATTATAATTTCGTACAAGCTGATCACTAAAAAGACATTGATAATTATTAGCCATATAACCAGTTTCAAAAAATCACAACCAGTACTTAAATAACTGCATTTTTGGAAGCAAGGCACACAATATTCCAACATGGTGTTTACTAGTGGGGAAGAGAGTGATTAGTTAAGTTTTGATTTAGGGTGACTGGGAGTCCCTATATACCCTCACCAACCCTCACCTCAACTCATTAATGCTGATCAATTATATTTTCCTAAACTTGAAAGGTCTTGAAAGAACAAAATAAATTGCTCATAAAGTCATAAATACTTCCTAAATTTGTTTTTTGACAATGAAGGCTACCTAATTTAATTTGAAGCTTTAATTCATTGTCTCTCATAAATTGTACAGCTACTTTATTATGTCAGGTAAACATTCACACAATTCTTCTAAAATACAGATGTACTGTACATAAATGCCCCCACTCACAGACACTAAGTTTCGCATTGCTTTAGTAAATATCTACTATTAAAACACCATTATGATAAAGGCGTACTACCGCAAACAACATACCGGTATGGATAAGCAAATGTCCCCTCGTGAAATTCGCGAATGAACTTCTTGAATTGCTTCTGAACGGCAGTTCTTGACAACTGGTTTTGGTCTAATTGATCTTCTGAGCCGAATACATCACTATAGAGTATTTCTCCCTCGTCGAAACCGGACATATTACAGCAAAATTATACCAATTTAAAGTCCCTCTTCGAATGTGTACAATTTAAATGGCAGATGGCAGCATGTTCGTTCCCAACTTTTGGCGGGAAAAAGCTACAAATCGTCATTTTCCGAGTTTTCCTTCGGCCAAGCTTCGGCCAAGTGGTCACAGCAGGGTTTCCCTTTTGATGGAAATTTCCATATTTTATGGCAATTTTGATATTAGGGGTAAGTGAAAAAAGTGAATAGAATTTTTTTATGGAAATGAAAAACTTCTATTCTAGAAATTCTATAGAACTTTCAGCAATTTCTTCAAATCATAAAACTCAGTCATCAGTTTCTTTACCGGTTTTAATACTGTAGTTCAATATACGCCACCAGAAATGGTGGTCGCAGTGGAAGGCTATAATTCCTATAAATGGTCTAATTCTGGGTCCGCGTTAAGGCTAATTTCCACTCCGGAAAACAAGCAGCGGATCGGATCGGATTTTTTTCCGAGCTGGTCCGATCCATGAAGTTATTTCGGATCGGATCAAAAAAATTTAAAACTATTTGAACTTTTTTTTATCCGGTCTCGGACGCTTTCCGGCGGATCAATATAAGCCAAAAATTTAAACAGACGGCGCTCGCGCAGATTATCTTTCGTTCCGATTCGATCCGCTGCTCGTTTTCCGGAGTGGAAATTAGCCTTTAGATCATATCGAACTAACGTACATGACGTCATAAATTTTGCAATAAGTATAATAGTATAATAGTATAATAACAACCTCGCAAGCCAGGCTCTTTTACCTACGCTTCTCGCGGCCCACAAAGAGCCTGGCTTGCGAGGTTGGTATAATAACAGAAGTCTTACATGAAGTCTTTCTAGAGCTGGTTCATAAAAATGATAAAATGAAAATGGCAATGAATGATGATACATTTATAAATGTACACGAAAGTGTAAATGTCTGTTACCCTTATACCCAGTATAGGAGTGATCATATACTTATGTAATAGTATCTCTGGCTTTACCTTAATTAGGGTTAGGGTTATTGAAAATTTTATGACGTCATGTACGTTAGTTCGATATGATCTAACGCCGACCCTAATCTAATTCTGGTCCTATGCTAAGTTGCAAGCATGTTTCGTGCTCATATACAAACATACAAACTACGTAACCATGCCTTGGTTATGATGTCAAATATTGTGACATGGATAACCACGCTGTTTTAATGGTCAAAAGCTTAAATGTCCTATGTAAAGTTCAAGTATGTTTCGTGCTCATGAACAAACATTAAACAATATATGAATATAACCATGCCTTGGTTATGATGTCAAATATTTTGACATGGATAACCACGCTGTTTTAATGGTCAAATGCTTGTCCTATGTAAAGTTTCCAGCATGTTTGGCGCTATATACAAACATTAAACAATATAACCATGCATGCTTTGGTTATGATGTCAAATTTTTTGAAATGGATAACCACGCTGTTCTAATGGTTAAATGCTTGTCCTATGTAAAGTTTCCAGCATGTTTGGCGCTCATATACAACCAATATACAATATAACCATGCTTTGGTTATGATGTCAAATATTTTGACATGGATAACCACGCTATTTTAATGGTCAAATGTTTGTCCAATGTAAAGTTTCCAGCATGTTTGGCGCTCATATACAAACATTAAACAATATAACCATGCTTTGGTTATGATGTCAAATTTTTTGAAATGGATAACCACGCTGTTTTAATTGTCAAATGCTTGTCCTATGTAAGGTTTCCAGCATGTTTGGCGCTCATATACAAACATTATACAATATAACCATGCTTTGGTTATGATGTCAAATATTTTGACATGGATAACCACGCTGTTTTAATGGTCAAATGCTTGCCCTATGTAAAGTTTCCAGTATGTTTGGCGCTTATATACAAACATTAAACAAAATAACCATGCTTTGGTTATGATGTCAAATATTTTGAAATGGATAACCACGCTGTTTTACCGGTCAATGCTTGTCATATGTTAAGTTGCAAGCATTTTTCGTGCCCATATACAAACATTTAACAATATATGAATATAATCATGCTTTCATTGCTTTTGAGTTTTGTTATGTCATGATGTGAAATATTTTGAAATGGATAATCACGGTGTTTAAATGCAGTTGCCCTATGTAAAGTTGCAAGCATGTTTCGTGCTCATATACAAACATTAAACAATATAACCACACTTGGTTATGAATCCAACTATTTCGATACCTGGTATGGATAGCCACGCCGTTTTTTTTGTCCTATCAGTCTTAGTCTAGTGGTGCATGAAGACAATTGTTTCGTAACTTTTAGGTCTCTGATTCGAATACTGGGAATACTGGGATATTTTCATTATGACTTTGAAAAGGGATTTATTCATTTAGGTAAAAATATACACGCTGTTTTAATGGTCAAATGTTTGTCCAATGTAAAGTTGCAAACATGTTTCGTGTCCATACTACACGAGGGTACGAATAAAACCATATTGTTATGTGCATCATCAATGATCCAGTGCTGCATTTATAAGATTAGATCAGATCAACTGATCTCATAATACTACACTGGGTAGACCGATTAAATTCCAGATGAAGCTGGATTTGGAAAAAGTTTGACGAGACCCTCAAAAAGGTAGACTGGGCGACTAATGTATGTGGGAAAACGAATGGGGATCATGTAACTATGGCGTGGCACCAGTCAACTTTCTCCATCACATAGAGATGTACAATTCTTGATTGCTGCATGTGGCATTAGTCCGAGGAAGCAATTTCATTCAACAGTAAATCATCATGAAACCTCCATTGCTGCTTGTTGGATCTTTTTCTGAAAAGCCTCAGACTGAACTTGCTCCAAAGTTAACAACGACAGTCCTAACTGATCTTCCTGAAAGATATTATAAAATCCCAGCTGATTTCATGATATTTCTTTCCTTCAAATATATAAAACAGCGAAAAAAGTACGATTCGTCTTTTTCCAACAAACATTATACATTATATTCGACACGAACTCTTCATGCAAGTCTTCAACTTCAGTACGAATTTTTTTGCATCTTGTTTGATTTAGTTATTAGTTAATATAAAACAAAACTATTCCGGCCCAGGTTTTTAGAGTATAATACAAATGATCTCTTACCCTACGAAAAGGTTGTGCCATTTGACGTAGAAAATGCTTCGCAACCTAAAATTATAAAGCCAGATATTCAAGGTCAATGTATAAATAAAGTTTTGCGTCGAAGACGATCATTAGTCAGGAATTACACGAAATAATTCACCTGAACGGCCTCGTCGATGGTCAAATTACAAGCGGCATCTTTTACATACTCCTAAATATTTGGACAGTATTTAGTACAAATTTCTTTTGTATCAGCAAGCTAGACCAAATGAAAATACCGCATAATTTACCTGGATCCATTTGGGAAGTTTACCGCGTTTGTCCATCTTTGCAAATCTCTAAAAACATTCGGTGTTAATTACACTTACAGTTAAGGAAATACATGAATTTCGACATGACATTCCAACTAATTTTTAGGTTGAACTTTCTTTGTTCTGTAGCTCAGTAATCGGGCTATTTAGACCAGGGAATAAGGTTACTCAAAGAGGCTGACAATTTGGTTTTGTGGTGGGATAACTGCGCCATATCACAAATTACAGGCGACATTAAAGCGCCTTTTCTTCATGGCCAAGTATTCGTTCCAAGATACCGTAATAAAAAGAGGAATCTACAGTATATCGCGATTTAAGTTACACATACTTTATCAGCAAACACCATCACTCCATAGTCAGTTTTACCACGGATCGCCCGACCTACACACTACGTCGCAAGAAAAAGAATAAGTTAGGAACTTTCGAATAAAAAAACTTCACGACACACCGAAGTTATAATGGTCTTCTAAAGTCGAGAGAAACTGTTACAATATGACAAAGTTATATACGTGTTTTCTAGCTGGGACATCTAGAAGTTGAAAAAACTGTCCCGGGCCTACCTGGGCGGCATGTCTCATCGCATCGAATGTCAAAAAATCATTTTCTCTGATGTTAAATTGATCCCTCAAGTATTCCAATCTTGCCTGAAAACGAATTGGATATAACGTGTCGACTCTTTGATAAGCATCGTGTTTCTCATTGTCAACATCATATTAATGGAAAAGTGAATATTCTCAAACGTTAGCGGGGAGATAATGAAGGACTAATCATGATACAATCCAACCCAGTGAATCCAACCTCGTACTCAGGGTCTTTTCTCCGTGCTCAGACTCTGGGCTCACCCGCTGGGGGTTGTATACAATCATATTTACAAAAAAACAGTAGGGCTGTGTTGTATGTACAAATAGTGAAATCAAGCGGTAAGGAACACTGAATATGCGAGCTCATATTTTGCTTGAAGCTTCTTTTCTTTTGAAAGATCTTTGGGTTTCAATTATCTAATAATCTATTACAATTCAATCTCAACGATGTTCTTATAGATATTCCAGAAGCTCAAGCTCATATGCCCAGCGCCCTCCCCCCTTCCCCCCCCAAAAAGCAACCCTCACCTTAAGTATTCTACTCTGCGTGTAGACATAAGGAATGCCAAACATTATGACTGCACGGCCAAGGTGATGATCTAAGTGGGTTCAAAATAAATTAATATGAAGTTCATATACATTTTAAACATAAGCACATGCAGTAAGTAAACCCGAGTTAGCGTGAATCGAACTTTCAAAAGGTGACTATTCTAAAATTGCCAATAATGCTTGTAAATTCTGTGATGAATGTGTCTTATCAAACACGTACCAAAATCTATTCCTTCCGAGACTTTCCCGCGAGCGACAGAAAGAAGAATCGCTCCACGACCATTCTCACAAGCCTAGAAATACAACGTTAAAACAATACAATAAACATCGAATGCCTTTGAAACAATATAGCATTTGTATCCCTAATCATATAACAGTGAATTTGAGAATGACAATCTTGAATGTTTAAAAGAACAGTTAGGTCGGTAACGAAATTACGGTTTTTAACTGTAAAAAGGGTTTTCTGTTGAATATAGCTATGAACTTAAGGAAGTTTTATACAATATTGCTTACTTTTTGGTAATTATTTAAAGCTAGACTTGTTTCTGCAGAGTCTTGTGTTTCGATGAACAACAACTTATTCTTCTGAATATTTCCAATTATTCCCTGAAATATAAATAATCGCTTTCAAATTTTACGACAAACTACTGTATACCTATCTTAATTGATTTAACAAGTTCCGCTAACAATACATGAATAGTACAACGAAAAAATATGTTTGTAAAAAATCGATTAAGTTGACGACAAAATGCAAACTATAATTTGATGATACCCTCCATTACAAATTCCTATCATGTTTTAAGAAAATGTTAATCGCACCTGATCGTTCCATGCAGATACAACGGTCTCCTATAACGAGAGAAAAATGCATATGATGTGAACTTTAATTAGAAGGCTATACCGTATTCTCAACCCTGTATAGAAGTTGCAACATATATTCTCAAAAGTTTTCTCAACCCTCTACGGAAGTCGCTATTACTGGGACAGGACAAAGATATCCAAATTTCTGGAACATGACGACAATCAGTGTTAAAATGCCTGGCAAAAACCTGACTTTTAATGGTAATGCAATGCTATCGCACAATATTTCCTACCATGTAATGGTAGCTTGGGAAAAAGCAGACAATTCCATCAGGAACAGCCATTGAGAATTCCGCTAGTAAGATTCCATAGTTACGAATTACAGCTGAAAATGAAAAAAACATTTGTCAAACGAACACCGCTCGTCATAACATGACATTACCTTTATTTCATGCATGTTAGGCTGAATTCAAGAAACAAGTGAAACAAAATATACAACAGTACTTAATTTTACTTATTAAATTGATGAATACTATGATTGAATTGGATTTAGACCTTTAACCACGATAAAAAATACCACAGCAAGTCGCATTATTGACTATGGTCAATGGTACCATAGTCATAATACTACAATAGTCAATGGTATTATCGTCACGAGTATCATAGTCAATGGTATTATAATCAATAAAACAAAACCGTCAATAATATACCATTGCCAATCAATAGTATCATAGTCAATAAGTATTATAAATAAAACTACAATATAAGTGAATAATATACCATTGCCAATCAATAGTATCATAGTCAATAAGTATTATAATTAAAAGTACAATATAGGTCAATGATATACCATTGCCAATCAATAGTATCATAGTCAATAAGTATTATAAATAAAACTACAATATAAGTCAATGATATACTACTGCCAATCAATAGTATCATAGTCAATAAGTATAATAATGAAACTACAATACATCAATGATATATACCATTGCCAATCAATAGTATCATAGTCATTAGTACCTATAGCCAATAGTATCTTATTTTATGGTACCAGAGTCACTAATAATATATATACCCATATCTTCTCTTGTTTCAAACTTTGACGAAATCACGACTTGATCGTTGCCCCGACTCACAACCTAAAACCAATTACATTTGCTGTAGTCATTTGAAGAGGATCAACTTTCATAAACTGTGATAAATTTCAAGACTCACCAGAGGACACAAACATGTTCTGCTAAGGGTCATTGTAAATGTCGCCATGGTGACAGGATTGAAATCCAACATCTTGGGATACATGTCAACTGGAGAGAGAGTCTGAAAATGAACACACAAAGTTGTGATAGTGGTTGATATTGACGATAACAGTGGTTGATATTGACGGCACTTACTACATATGTCGATATAAACTGTAAAACGCAACCTATTTTTCGCTAAGGCAGAAATTGAAGCCATGCATGATATACTACAGGGAGAAACGGTGAAATGATAGAAATCTAATTTTCACTCACACCAGACGTGATCACGACCGATTGAAAGCGGTCGAAAATCGGTTTCACTGCAATTGAGGCGTCCATACAGCTAAAGAAAAAAAAAACTAGACATAAATAGATAGTTGAAAAAAACGTTTTAGAGAGCTTGTATTAACAACAATTTCAAGAGGTTCAGACTCATATCTAAAGGCTCGTTTCTACACCTTTTGCCGCAATTTTATGTGCGATTAGCTTAAATTTTCACAGTTGCTCCTGGTTTGTCATATAGATAAATTCAATGTATAGAATTCGTTCGGAAAATTTAGTTATCCATACGCTCTATTACCAGTTCTATGGAACGCGATTCTGTGATATTCATGAATCATTATTGTGTGATATGCAACATGCAACTCGTTTTAACGGACTCACCTGAATTGAAGAATGGGGTTTGGAATGGTCGGCGTTCGATCATCAAAAGGTTCGATAATCAAAACAAAACCTAGGAAAATGTTATGAGAAAATTAAGCTGGTGTGTGGGTGCAATTAGTCAATTCTTTAATAAACGTAATATTCTAGTGTATGGCACTGTTAAGCAACTTTTTGCAGAGAATATTCACTCAAAACATTTTAATTCAAGATGGGTTGAGAATGTTTTTCCAAGTTGGAATTACCATTAATTTAAGAGTGGGATGTATGTATATTCATGCACTCCCTAAACGTAAACTGCTAAAAATATGTGTTCCTGAAAATTACCTTTGGAGTAAGTGCTTACAAGTGTTGCGAAGTTAGCTATAAGTCTGAGTGGTCCATAATCTGCAATATCTGGCAGTTCCAATGTGTACAGCAACGACTGAAGTCTCTCCGAGCAAAATCTATATTGATAGCCAGAAATGGAAATGTTTTGTAAAGCTCGTTCACAATTGCACCGTTTCTATGCTGTTCAGTGCAATTTTCGTCTTTTTGAAGATGTAAACGAGTGAACAGTTACGATTGCTCTTATGTATGCTGACTTCTGTTACAACATCCGCAGCCTGTATGTACACTGTACTCGTTCACATCTATCAAAAGACGAAAACCGCGGGAAATTGCGTAAACAGGCCTTAATAAAGCAACATAGAACAAGGAGGGCAGCACCAATCTGGTACAGCAATATCACCTTACCGTAACGGCTTTCTCTCGATGCAAACTTGCTGGTAAATATGTTGTAAGAAGGACAAAGGCGTTTCGGAAACCACGTGGTGTATACGTAACCTTGTCTGAAACAACGAAACACGTCACTTTCACTTTCAACCACATTCTACAAGACGTAATGAAGTGCCAATATTTTGGGTCTTATTTTTGAACTACTTATTCATCGCGTCTTATTCCAGTTCGTATAGAGTTCACTAGTCTGGAATTCCAAAAGTTGAAAAGGTGTTTATATCACATTGGGTTTGATACCGCATCTTAGACACAAGTGAACCATCTTGTAATGTTACTGTTACTGTTATGAGGAAGAACGTGGCCGCAGAATTATGTAACTTGCCTTTAAATATTCTATGAACCTTCTCATAAAGCCAACAAAATGTTCAGCTTTCCGAATATTTCCAGGAATTGCCTCTAGAATGGAAAGAAATCTGATGGAGTCCATTTTGCACCAACTGAATAAAATGGCACAAAAATAAACCGGTTTCACACTGAAAGATACGAGTAATTTCAGGATTTTCTTGGGCCCCATTGGAGTAATTTATAGACCATGAAATGTGTAGATACCAGGGACCGCGGAGCGTTTTTCGTATTGCTGGAGCTCTGAACCGCGCGCCTGCTAGGAGAGTCCGGGAAAGTTTTGAAATATACATAGGCCTTTGAAATGGCCGCAAATGCCTCTCAATTAAAGGATTATTGGGAAATAGTAGATACTTTGTAAAGTTTCCAGCATGTTTGGCGCTCATATACAAACATTAAACAATATAACCATGCTTTGGTTATGATGTCAAATATTTTGATATTGATAACCACGCTGTTTTAATGGTGAAATGCTTGTCCTATGTAAGTTGCAATCTTGCTTCGTGCTCATATACAAACATTAAACAATATAACCATGCTTTGGTTGATGTAAAATATTTTGATATGGATAACCACGCAGATTAAATAGTCTAATTTTGGTGCTATGTAAAGTTTCAAGCATGTTTGGTGCTCATATACAAACATCTATATAAAGTTGAAACTTGCAAGCAACGAATATGCCCGGAAAACGGTATACTCGACCATGGTCGAATGTGCCGGAAAACGGTATACTCGACTACGGTCGAATATACGAAGAATCGGTACATTAGACCATGGTCGGAAAATGGTACACTCGACCATGGTTGCATGAGTATACAGGAAAACGGTATACTCGACCATGGTCAAATATACTAATTTCAATCCATTTGTAAACATGGTGGATATTTATGACGACAGATATCGTTGGAAATTAGAACACTCATTTTTTTGAATTGGTTATTAAAATATACGTTGAAGAAGTAAACGTTACGATAGTATTCAAGATAAGACACACTGCATATACTTGCATGTAAGCAGCCACCCTGCTTCGCGGTCCCGGGATACGTTATCAGTAAGTTTAAAATATGGCGGTGAGAAATGGCATAAGAGGTTTTCTATACCTTGTAAAATATCATCAGGCAAAACTACACGGAAAAGAAAATGTGAAATGTCAAACAGTGTTATATATATAGCTCAGTGCTACTCCTGTTCTCGGGTACCTGGAGTCATAACAATTTGTACCTGGATTGGCCATAACTTGATCTGCCTCCCGAGCAACATTCGCCTCTCTTAAACCTTGGCATACAAAACAGTTTTCAGAAAGAAGGTTCATGTTTCTCAAGCACTAAGATTTCGGTTTTGGGAACAACTCTTTAGTCTATTTAAAAGGCTTCGTTTCATGGCCCCACTAGGTAGGAATTATGCGACTCATAAAAATAATTTACCTTCAACAAGTTGATTATATTCTTCTCGTAACCTCTCTGTATCAGACATTTTTAAACTAAAAGACAAACATAACATGCATATTACGGTTAATAAAAGCAGCAATAACTACGGTTTTAAGACTAACCTAAAACAATTTTAATATTGAATTGAGTTTAAAGAGGATGCAGTTTACATCAAGTTATTTATAGCTACAGAGAGACAAAAGTTGACTTACTTATTTATGGTTTGCGAAAGCGACTCGACATTATTATGAGCTCTTTCGAGGGTTCTTTTTGTAATATTTACACTCATAGATTCTATGCACACATTATCTGAAACGAAAGAATTTTTTCAAGCTTTTAACGGCGAGTAGCCTAACATTGATCTTAAGGCATCTCAAGCTATAACACAGGAATCACAAGGCAAAAACGATACTTATATTTTTCGCCTACCAATGTTATGGGCTTCATCGAAAACAACGACGGACGACTTTGCGAGCTCTTTGGATACCAAGTCAGCAATTTTTGGATCAAGTAAATAATGGTAACTATAGACGACCACGTTAGCATAGTAAATCTAATAAAAGAATAAGGATACATACTAAAAATCAGAATATTTTATCGAGGGATTTGTTTTTAAGATGAATATTTTCCCGCCAAAAAACCCCCCGCGAAATACTATTTTGATAATATGCCGCGTTTTTTGGCGGGAAAATATCTCAAAACGGAACTAAAATCTTTTTCGTTTACTAGTCAAATTCAGTCTATTTTAGCTATTTTACTTTGGTTACGTAGCGTAGTAAACCAATTTAATACGAGTATTTCGTGGTTATACAAAACACTGGGCGACAAAGGCCTTGTTGAAAATCCATGCAGCAAATATAGAAATAGTGCCACGAATGTCAACGCAATTTTGAATACTTAAAATGATTCTAAAAGTAGTTTCATTCGTGGTAAAATTACTTTTTAGATGTTTACGGTTTGCAAAACCTATTGAAAAATTCAGTATTGTTGCATGTTGACATCTCTGGTTTTGAGCAAATTTACAGTAAAAATTCCTCTTGTAACACTATAAACACTTGCTCTTTTAGTGCATAAGTTTCTAGTATTTAGTAGCCATTATTTTTGTTCTCCCAGGTATACTGGTTTTCCTCTTCCCAAGAAAATGATAAAACCTTTATATATTATAAAGCTATACCATCATAAATTTACTTACTGCATATCGTGCCAGGAAATAAGGACACCATCCTTTCTCGCGTCCAACCTCTTGTAAGTCAGGCTAAAGAAATAAATGTCCGTGAGACAAAATGCTTCCGGGACTCTGAAAATCCTGAGACAACGTGCTTACAAGGTTATACACTCCAGGCGCTAATTGCTGTTCGCGACCACAGCTTTCAAATTCCTTTAAAACAAAAATAAAATCTCAATTAAAATGGAGGATGTGAGGGATCTTGTGTTTGGGGAAGAGGGTGCATGTGAGCTCAACGCTGGGATGAGGGTTGATATGTTACTCAAGTTCAAGAGCTGCATTTGTCCATCAACACTCAAAGCAAATTTGAAAACGAATAGTTTTGTACAACTTCCATTATTTTGAGAACACTTTATTGAATTTAACTTTGAGTTTTCTTTGTGAACTTAAGATTTACATGTTTTCCACCGCACACCCAACTTAGGGCCTGTTTATATGATTCCGTCTAGCCGGGATGGCATGTTTTCATCCCGCTTAGCCGGGAAACTCGCCTAGGCGGGATGGCGTGTTTACATGGAGTTCATTTTGTAGTGCAGGTTCGTTCGACCGCATGTTTTATTGAATATGCCAACATATACACATGCTCCAAATGTATGTTTATCGCGAATCATCTCAGCTCAGATGGAGTGTTTATATGGCAATTTCTCGTCCCGTCTAAGCGGGATGGAAAAGTGGTCATATAAACACTAATTAGTGTTAGCTAGTGTTTGTATTACAAGCAGGATCTCGGAAACTGTCCCATCCCGGCTAGGCGGGATCATATAAACAGGCCCTCAAGCCATCTTATTCCAATTGTGTAGCTTCAGTGAATGCACTATGCAAGATTATTCAAATGGATGGGATTATGGAAAGTGATATCAAGATTAAATAGTTTAATAAATTCCAAACCTCATAAAAAGAACACACAGGAACTCTGCTATCATTTTTATGTCTTGCTCTGATGTAAGATGCTGTTAATGTCTGACATTTTGAGTCAACTTTCTTACCATCTCTGTCTACATTTACCTACACATAGAGATAAACAAAATCTTGAAAATACTGTTTGTATTGTAACGTTGTTTACACAGAAATGTCTGCATTAAGTTTACTTAAAGTGACCATGTGCAATATGCCAGAAAGTCCACTAAACCCTGTGTACACCCCTCAATATTTTAATGGCACAGCCTGCATGGGTAGAATTTAAATCTGTGCCCAATTTTTTCCATTCTCAAACTGCTAATACAAAGACCCAGCTCAGGTATTTGAGTGCTGCACCAATAAGTTGAGTGTAGTGTATTATAAATGGGGCTAATCCCAAAAACTTTAGAATCTCCTCAGGAGAATTTAAAATCAGATCTTATCATATAAGAAGATAAACATTCCTTGGTTTTTGCAGCCTAGCAGTTTCCCTTTATTTAATAAATATACAATTTACCTCAGGATGAATGCACAGATTTTTCCTAGAACTTAAACCAACTCCAAGAATTTTAGGTTTTACGCCACTCTCCTTCTCATAATATTCCAGTAGAACTTTAAGTTCTTCTAAAACCTAAAAGTTGAACAAGTTTAGATACAAGTATGTAAATTCCAGTTCAATCCAACTTTAGGATCTCACTAATTTTCTTTAGAAATGTAGATCAAAAAATTTTTTTGTATAATGTATATAAGAGATGGGTAGATTATTTCAGATCCATACATATATACATAGACTATAAATTTAGTCTAGCCTGAGTGATTTGATTGGGAGGAAATGAAGGACTTTTAAACACTAAATTATATAATTGCTTTGTATATACCTTTTCCATTTCTGGGACTGTACGTGAACAGTATATCAATTTGGTGAGTTCCAATGGCTTGTTCTATAACAACATGAAAAAGGTTATTAATATTATCTGGCTAGTTAGACTTCTGAATCTAGTGAGGGAAGGCAGTTGAACATGCTCTACCTCCCATCACTTCGACTTCTCAATCTTTGACTGTACAGTTGACATTTACCAATGATAGTCAACTATTACAAATCAGCTTCTACAATATACATTTCTCCCCATACTATGCTTACCATGAGATAGGCAACAATTAATGACAGAAGGGATATTGTCTTTCCAGTTCCTGATGGCATTTCCAGAAGACAGTGACCCTAAATATTAAGGACATTTAAGAGCAATTTTAACTTTCATTGCTTAGCAATCAGTTATTTCAGGCTAAGGGACTGGTCATAATTTAGCAGGGGGGGTGGGGAGGTGTAATTCAATATTTTAAGGAATGATATTTTGCAACCCTGTCTTGCCTTATCCACAAAAAATCATGCCCCCTCCCCTTGTTCGAGACGGTAAAAATGCCCCCCCCCCATCCGTCAACGTTTTGATAAACACTGCTTCAAAATGAGAAACTACTGTAATCTGCACCGTCAATTCAAAATAGTAATTACACCTTCAAAAATTTTTCTGACAACGTTTATATAAAGTAATAAAATTAATTTATATACGTCCACTTATATATATTCCAAGGGTGGGTAGACTACAAGTTTTGTGTAGTTCGCTACAACTACTGCTATTTTAAAATAATGTAGTCACCTACAACTACTGCTATTGTCAAAAATATGTAGTTTGGTTCTTTTGACTACGTGTACAGCTATATCGCTAGAAAAATGTAGCGAAGTATTCGCTACTTCGCTACAACAAAATTCCTGGTATCCGTGTTTGTAATTTATATTGATTTCACATGTTTTAAACATATGAAATGTTAAGCATAATATGCTCATATATTCTGATACTATGGATTAATGGCGGATGAGCCAAAGAATTCTAGAACAAAATGTGGGTCCAAACGAGATTTGACATGGTATATTAAATGACTAGTTTTGTATTATAGTGTATGAACTATAGAGTATATAGTCGAGGGATATTAAAAAATCGAAAAGTGGCGAATAGCGATTGTTGTTGAAAAAGTAATCAACTACTTCGCTACTTTTAATATAGAAAATATAGTTCGCGACAACTTCAAACTACCAGTTTTAAAAAGTAGTCTATACAGTTACTCGCAAATTGTAGTTCGCTACAGTTGCAAACTCCAACAACTCCGATACTACCCACCCTTGACATATTCATATGTTAAAATTTGGTTTTAAACATAATATGTTAGTTATTTCTAGTGAAAGACCCTGCTATTTAAAATATAAATATTTTAACACAGTGACTTATATAACTTTTCATTTTAAATTCTATAACTAATTTTGTTTAATGTTCTAAGCAAAGCTTATGCAGTGCAACTCAAAGTCTAAGCATGTATAAAAGAAATAATTACAACCAGAAATAAGCAACCCCCCCCCCCTTATAACTGTCTAACATTTTATGAACCCCCCTTTTTTCTGGCTAAAAAATATGTGACCCCCCCACTATTTCCACCTCCCCACCCCCCCTGCTAAATTATGACCAGTCCCTAATGACTAAACTAAAGAACCTGATTTTTTTTTAAAATACTATGTTAACAAAAGTGTTTAGTAGAAGATAAGGTGAAGAGAGATTGTGGATAGCATTCCGATCAACAATAAACAAATTTGTAAGAACATTTCACGGCTGGCAAAAGCATTTGTGCATGTGTCTGGAGCTTAAATCAAATGTAATACTCAAGACTGATCCCACCTTTTAGAGTCATGTTGTCATGGAGAGACATATTAACCACACACCAATTTTAAAGGGTGAAGACTTTCTAACTTCAAAATAAATAGGTTTATGACTTAAAGCACGACTTTCCAGCTACCTTGGCATCTAATGATCTTTTCAATTCAAACATGTACGAATATTGTTCTGGATAGATGTAATCATAGGGAAAATATACCAGCAAGCCATCAATATTGATCCTATAAAGCATAAACACAGTGTGTTTTTTATTATATATATATCATTGAACATTAGGAATGTACATATTGGTATGTGTGCAGCAAGTTAAAAATTTGAAAGTTAATTCTCATGTTGCAACTGACAAGACTAGGATATTTACCGGGATAAAAATAGCCATTGCTACTTTGGATTACTTTCATTTTGTCGAGTCGTGGTAATGGATTATGGATTTGGTTATTTAAAATTGTTGCGCAGTTTCATAGCAAATTACAAATAGAGTTAATAGTTACACTAAATGTACGTGTTTTAATCGGCAGTATTACTTGGCACTTTCCCCGTATTTCCACCGCAAAACACTTTGTGTTCATTTTCCAAAAAAACTACCGGCACATTTCTATCAAATATTAAAGCTTCTTGCGCAAAGCTTTGTATATTTAGAAGGTTTGAATCGCTTAGTTCTGAATTTTCACCCATTTTCACATGATATCCCACTATAATATCAACTCTAATTCGATCAATCACTGCTCCCGGATATTCTGAACGTTACGTATAAAACAATATACAGCAATAAAAAAGTAAAACACACTTCATCTTTGCTCTCGAACTGTACAAATTCCAAAATTCTAAGAACTATTCACAACTATTCTCCGTCAAAGTCCGCCATATTGCTTAGCAATTTGCGCATGCTCACGGCCAAGTGCGCTAAGCTTTAAAAAAGTCAAACCCTGGGTCAAACCCACTGTGGTCAAACCAAAGCCAAAGAGCCAAACCATATCTGTGGTCAAATCCTACCAAAAAGAGAGAGAAGGGAAAACCTGAGGGAAAACTACTCTTTCAGGTTTTCGCACAAGAGATTGTGGCCTAATATCGGAATCACTTGTCTGTGGCTACGAAAATATCTGTGCCATCAGCATATGTTATAAAGCGGGCTATATTCGTCAATACAATACAATAGGGTTTCAAGCCATTTTTCACGTTACTGACGTTATGAAAATACAAACTTTCAAGCGTAAACAGGGACGTTACCGGGCGTACAATAGCAAAGGGGGGGGGGAGCCGTGGCCGGGAGTCGAAAAATTTAGTTCGAAAACTTTATTCAACTCGGTCGTTCATGAATGCGTGTTTATTACGACAAACCTTGTCAACCAGATCAATTGCATTCATAATACGCCTATATACCCGCGCCTCACTGTCGACTCTCGATATATATAACGAAAATTTTTGGCCGGCGGTAGAGTCAATAAAGCACACAACTTATTATATTTTAATGTTTTCTGTAGAATCAATTTCATTTACGCCACGATTCTTAATCGCGTTCGGAATGTGTTGCATAATGGCCTAAGGTTCGAAGCTGCGCTATAGTTTATCTGAACCGCCCTATAGTTTATTTGTATGCTGTTCTTCATCAATAGACTAATTCTCGTCCATTCTCGAATGCAGAACTTAAACTGAACTCCTTTATTCACTCATTTTCGTGCGATAACTATCCATCATAACAAAACTATATGAGTGCTTGCACGAAATAATCCATCATTAATCATACTAATACTGCACACAAATTTATAATTCAGAAGACATTTTATTGCGGCACAAAATTTCACAATTCATTAGCAATGTCAATTCATGATAAAAAGGATATATCACTAACAAATTTTCGATGTATAGATTAATTGCAGGCCAGAGTAGATATTTTCAGTGCTTCTAAACATCAACTGCATGAGTTCAGTCATAAAACGTACATATATTGTTCTAGCCTCTAGGCAATGTCAGGCTCATGAAACCAGCGTTCCGTTTCTGCACAAGAAATTTAATACTACTGCCTGGAAAACTCTTAAAATAAACAAATAATTAGCGGCAACTTGACGCTTTGAAAATTAATTCTTTTTAATATAACGATAACGAATCGTGCGTAAAAACGAAGCTTTCCAGCTGGGTAACTGGCTACACGATGTCATTAGTGTCTTGAAGCTTTGGAATCGACCAGCGAGTATAGCCTGATGACGATACCTGTCGAAATGAAAAGTGTCGTAAAACAAATTCTTGACCCATCCAGCAAACGTTCGGCCCAGTGTTTTCCTGATTCGCTTCGTTTGAGTTTCTGGATGTTAATATTGTTGAATTCGCAAACATTTGACTTCATAGAAGCGGTGGATTTTTGTTTCGACGGATCGAAAGAAGGCGAGTTTTAGATGACATTAAAATCAATTTAATATAACTTAATATGCTCTCTAAAATGGGCAGAATATAGGCAAAGACGTATAACACTAAATTCTCGTAAAATGCGCGTTAAACAGCAGGGGGCGGTTATTCTAAAAATTTGAGTAAACTCTAGTTAGTACGGTTGAAGTTACCAGTTTAACCGCATATCCTCTTATATACCCCTGCATATGGTAATGAAAATAAAGCCCATCCTCTGAACAGCCGTTAAAAGTATGACCCTTTCAAATTACACTTGAAAAAGATGTGATCCTCGCCAAAAAAAGTTTCTCCCCCGTTAAATAATGACCACACACCCCCCCCGCCGGCAATGAAACACTCTACTCAAATTTTCACTGACTTATAGCGTTCGCCCATCGCGAATTCGTTTTGATGTTCAAACGGTTTGGCGTCAACATTTTATAGTATGAGAAAATACCATAAATACAATACCTCGATCATCGCAATAACATTTCTTTCCACTGAAAAGGTCGCCGTTTACACAGTAATGCTACGACCAGTATTGGCTATGTTCACGTGAAATATGGCTTCGAATGCGTTTTGAAATGCGCACAGGAAAGCACAAAGTCCTGCAGATCCGTTAACTACAAAAAATATTCAACATGTGAGGAAGAACCAAATTGTGAACTGCTCAGAACTATTTATTCTGAAGAACCTGAAGAAAGTTTAAAGGAAAATGAGAACTATGACTACTACATTCTCAAAACAGAGAGAGTAAGGGTATACTTATAAAGATAGTTATAGATTTGTTCATTTGATTATAGACTTTCGACTGATGTATACCTAAACAGTGTGTATACAAGATGGTGGATGGTTTGTTACGAAAACGGCCGATATAAATACCAACAGGAAAAATTCTCAAAAGGAATCAAGTCTATACGCCTCTGTGACCCCGGAGCAGTGCTCCCAACAGCAATGATTATTATTATTTATAGATCTGTTTATGTGTTTCTAGAACACAGCCGATGCTGTTGAAACAAGCCCAAAGCCCTCGACAACAGACTCACAAAAACCTGGTACGGCAGGCGAAAATGTATAACTATATTCGGGTCAAAACATTTGGGAAAGCCACGACTTTTCGCTTTGTCTAAGACACAACAGGTTTTTTTGCATCCGGACTGCCAGTTTGGATGAAAAAAGTGGGTGACAGCCATCATAAGTCATTTGACTTTAAAAGTGTTTCAAGCACAAATGATTTCGCCCGTTGATATTCGAGCATGCATATCCCACAAAAGATTTCCTAATGTCCATGTGCAGTTTTGAGAGGAAAGATAGCCTTTCTAACGCCAAATTTCCAACGTACCGACGATAGAATAGGCAAGAAATAAACACCCAGTATACAAAATTACGAATGCTTTAACAAATAATTCCTTCATACCTCAGTTATTCAGAATCTGCCATCTTCTTGCAAGGAACAATTGGAGCGAAATAGGTCAGTACCAGCAACTTAAACGTTTGAAACAGTACGTTTCTATACCAACAAATTTAAACGCAGTTTGAAGCAGCAAATTTCTATAAACAAATCAGTTAGAGTTTATATTTTGTTTTATGCGATTGGAAAGGACTTGAATGTCCGTCGAAAAGACAAAATTCCCAAATTCAGAGCCATTCGTGCAACTTTCTTTTTTCCAAAGCGAGTTCTGTTAACACTCACGTTCAACAGGAAAATACTTATTGGGATAACGATAGTTTCTCACAATCTTAGATCGTTAACCAACGGTATTTATACGCTGGAAAACACAAACAAAGCAAACTTGTTAAAATACAAAGTTTATTGCCATATGGATGAAATACCTGGTTGTGGAGCCGGAGGCTGGACACTAGTGATGAAAGTAGATGGAACAAAGGTAAAGAAAATTAGCCATTGCTAAGTTGCATGTACTAGAGGACTGGTAATAGTTAAATTTTCTTTATTGCAACAGCGGAATTCCCAACGTAAGGTTTACGGTTTTATTTCAGTCATTCATAGCCACTCGGAACAAGGCAACAAGCATGATAATTTCTTATGCAAATTAATACGTTATCTGAAAACAGAGACATTTTGTTACAGTGACATCAAACGTGAAATTCCGTTTGATATTTGCTTGAGTTTTGCGATACTAAGGCTACATAGCTACATGCATTATACACCTACATTTGCAGAATACGTTCAACTACCCTTCGTCTTACTGGACCAACCGTGAAGCCTATAAAATAGATGACGGTCTCGAAGGTTTAACTAAAAAAGAAGCAAAACTGGCTTCGTACTGGAACACTCCGTTCAATAAGATATGTCTTGGGATGAATGTTAAAGGCGTTAAAGGTAGTACAAAATGGATTGTGATTAATCACAAAGCAAGCTCGCTGTTTGATGTTATCGCAGATGAAACATACAAAGAAACAAACATAACCAGAGCAAAGTGGAAATCACTTATCGCTGCTTCACAATTATATAACCATTGCAGTAAAGAAGGATTTAATATCTACGAGCCTGCTAGTTCCCCAAGAAAGATAAGATTACGGATTGGATTAGTCACTAGTAGTGATCTAAAATGCGAACTGGTGGAGAGATTTAACTCCTGTATTGGTTTTGGAGCTTTTATAAATGGATGTCTTGGGAAGGAGAAGAAGATAGCGTGTGGCAATTTGTTGGCTTGCAGAATAAGTCAAACAAACACTCCAGCTTTTGGATATATACTTGTGCAGTAGAATCGGCATGCAACCAAGGTTTAAACCTTGAACCGGTAGTAGACTACTTGATAGTGCTATATCCACAGAATAGTTGTGAAAATCGCATATTTCCAACTCTGCGGATCACCTAAAAGATTTTTAGAATTTAACTCCCATTATGCATGAGCCACGTACGTTTAATTGTTGCCTTTGCATATAGATGATTGTTCTAACTTCTAAGCAGTGTTTAAGGTTTGTTTTTATTCAGTCGTAATTGTTGTAAACATGACAAGGTGTTGATATATTAGAATATTGCCATAATATCTTCTCTTATCAACGCAATATACTATGTGTTATATATCTTTCGTACGCGAAGAAGCGGTACATTTCACTGAGAGTTTATTGAAGGTTGTTAGTGTACTAAGTCATGAAATTGGTGCGGAATATTTGCCACTGATGAATTATTACTTTAAGTAAAGCGTGCATGTAGAACTTTTTTCAGTCAGGTTTCCTAGCTTAATTGTCGCTTCATGTTTCCAGAGAGTGAGCATGCAGAAGCTTCCAAGTTTGGCACATAATTAATATTCGTGCTCTACAGCGTCAGGTTATTCGTGTTCTATCAGCGTCAGGTTATTCGTGTTCTATCAGCGTCAGCGTCCGCTATATCATATAAAAGTAGAGATCCATTTTTACACGGGTGTTAATAAAAATATGTGTAAAGAAAATGTCTTCAATAAACAAATAATTATAGTGGCAATTAGACGCGCAGAAATTCAAAATTAAAACTTTTTAATATCATCAAGCCACTTCATTTGCAGCATGTTACACATACAGCCAGGCCGGCAGAGACAAGGTTTTGAGTGTTGAGTGTATATAAGAAATTATACTGAACCGAGTTAATTTTTCCCGCTGGAAGATTACGGAGTGAATGAGTATTTAATTATATATAAATTGGCATATCAACCCCCGAGTTTGGTTTATGAGGTAAACGTTGCATTGTCACCGGCCGCAATATCACAAAACCTCTTCAAATGAAGAGTTTGTTACAAAAAGTCGTCGCCTATCCTATAAATGTAGGGCGCGACATTTTCTTGTTGTTTTTCTTCGTCTGAGTTTCTGGATAATAATACTGTTGAATTCGCAAACTGATTTCTGCCTGGTTTCTACTTAATCGTGCGTGAATATTTGTGTGGAAATAAAGACAAATTTCCATTCCGACTATTTCGCATCGGTGAAAATGACAATTATACGACTAAATGGATATCAGACTAGAAACTGTGTAAACAATTGACATGAATATTCAAACCTGCATGGGAATAAAATTTAGGCGTTATTCCTTCCCCTTAAGCCTTTACTCTTGCTAAAATGAGAAAAGTTTGTGATAAAAAACCCGGCGTTAATTTGTGAAACGCAGTTTGAAATACTTCGTAATAATTATTAGTCTTAAGAATTTTTCAACAAGGGATTTTCAGCTGTTTCAGCTTAAATAACATCTAAGCTGCAATACAGCATTTATTAGTCTCGTTTATTACCACTCCACTGTCAATATACAGTATTAGTATAAACTGACTAATAGGCTATCACTTTTCCTGCGTTCTGATTGGCTACGCTACTAGTAGGCTATTAGTGATAGCCTACTAGTAGCAAAATTCAAAACAATGGCGGAAAATTCGCGTTTCGCCGAAGTATCTGAAGATTTTTTGGACGACTTGTTGGACAATTCCGTACCAGAAAAAACAAAAAAAGCAACAAAATACGGAATTGCAATTTTTAAGGGTAAGAAAATACATAAAAATAACGTATACTCAATTGAATTTTTATATTTAAACTGAATTTTAAAACATTTTACGCGAACAACAATTAAAATATTTTCTTCCCTTTAATATACGAAATAAATTTCAGTTTCAATATTTTCGTATTGTGTTTCCTAGTTGTAAATTAATGTTATAGTTTATACTAAAACAATTAGACAACTCGGCCTCGTTGTCTATGAGCAAATAGTCAACTCGGCTTCGCCTCGTTGACTATTCGCTCATAGACAACTCCGCCTCGTTGTCTAATTGTTAATTAAGAAATATTCCTAATTACTTGGAACATATTAAGATTAACTTACTGACTGAGAGTGAGGTCTGTACGGTAAAATATCAAACCGAGGTCGTGCTGTATTGACCGAGCGATAGCGAGGTCAATACACCAAGACCGAGGTTTGATATTTTACCGTACAGACCGAACAGTCGAAGTTAGTAAGTTTTTTATTATATGGCATATTTCATCCAGACATTGTAATGATTAATTCTTTATGAGTAATTTTAATGATCAATCTCATCCGGGCACACGACAGCAAAACATCGGCCTAAAGTGAAAAAAACCGCTCTATTTTGTAAAATATAAATTTATTATTTTTATTTCAAATTCATTATTTTCCGTTTAAGAATTTAATCTGTTTTTTCAGTTTAAATTTAGTTAGTTTTTGCCGTGAGTTTTGCCTTGTTTTCACAGGGCAATAAGAATTGCGTATTGCCCGTGGGCAATACGGGGAAATCCGGACCTGTCAGCAGCCAATCAAATTGCAGAATTAACCAAAACAAGCGCTTGCCATATAATAAATACTTTTATTATATGTTTGGGGGTATTTTACTGAGAACTAAAACACTCGTAGAATTCATATACGCCACTACATCCGAGGTACAGTGCGCGTATTTTCCGCGTATGTCACGTTTGGGGGTGACATAACGAGTTTCAAAAATTTTCCCGTCATTTTCATTGTTGTTGTTGTGAAAATGCAAATAGTGTTTGGTTCGTATATATAGTGTGGTTGTATGAAGCCCGTTTAGCTTAAACGGTGGTTAAGTCCAAAATAGAAAGCAAGTCTATCGTTTTATTCAACAAGCAAACTAAATGTTTTTAACCTCAAAACAACGATACTGTTTACAACTAAATATTCAGTGTATAATATTCAAGTTGACTCATTCATGACTCAGAGTGTTATTTAAACGCGCCAGTTGATGAAAACCGACTCCTATATACGGTATAAAAGCTCCTTGGCAACTTTTTACAGGTCGCCGTTTAGACAGTTATGCTACGACCAGTATACTGGTCATGTTCAAATATAAAATTGAATGCGTTTTGAAATGTGCACAGGAAAGCACGAAGTCCTGCAGAACCGTTAACTTAAAAAAATATTCAAAATGTGGGGAAGAACCAAATTGTGAACTGCTCAGAATCGCTGATTCGGAGAACCTGAACAAAGTTTAAAGGAAAATGAGAACTACGAGTCCTACATTCTCGAAACACAGAGAGTAAATCAGTATAGTAACTCACAATATCGCTTGATATAGTAACTCACATTATATAATAACTATAGTGAAACACGCAATGTGATTGGTCAATAGCCGTGCAGGATCAGACAATCCTGCACGCGTTTTAGACCATCCTGCACGCGAAATTTAATCTTAATAAAGTTAACCGTTGTTTCACTACAGTTATTTTATAAAACAATTACCAAATGATTTTCCGTGCAGGATTGCGTGATCCATGCACGCGGGATGTTGCGAGACTTTCGGAAAGCGTGAAAATACACGAGCCGTAGGCGAGGTATTCCTTGGTATTCCTTTAATATTGCATTGATCAGTATAGTGTTAAACGACCCCTTTTTCTATATGATTCTATCCTCGGGATCGTTGGGGCCGTATGAGGGACAGCTCAGATAATATCAATACAACTTTCTTTTCTTATATATTTATTTTGTTGTCATGCCCCAGACCAAGTCATCAACCTTCTCTCTTAAACAGTGCAACCCGTGATATTTTACACTCTAAACTATAGTGCGTTATTGTGCATTGTTCATTGTGCATTGTGCATAGTGCTAAGTGCAAAGTGTTGTCATTTCCATGTGTCCATCACGTGCAAAACCCTTGGGTGCATAAAACAACAATTTCCCTTATATTACAATAGTAACTCACAACATCGCTTGATATAGTAACTCACAATATCGCTTGATACAGTAACTGACAATAAGCCTCAGTTAGTTTTAATTAAATAGCTTTTTCCCTCTTTGGCTTTGCATGTCTCGTAGAAACGTTTCGTCAGCTTTGACCACCGATTTTATTGACAGTTTGCATATCGGCCTCAATAAATTCATAATATGGAAGTGTTGTCATAAATATCAATCATTAATGTGAATTACTTTGGTCTTCATTCATTAAAATTGCACGGTGACGATGAATTCGCGGTGTTGAGTTTTCGTCATGAACTCGTATGCAGCCGCGTGAATTTCTCGCCCCAGTGTCGTGATCACTGATCTGAAGATACACTGGATCTAAGCGTAGCCAGAATTAATGAACTTCCCGAGACCAAAAGTCAAAACATTATGTTATGTTTTTAATTAATGACCTTTAGCTCAAATATCCTCCTGACTTTTGATTGGTCCATGCTTTTCTCGTGCAGGTGTTTCATAATATTAGTGGCCTTTGACCAACTAACTGATGGCTGTTGACTTCAGGTCGATGAATTTACTCTAAATATAAGTTTAAAGTGAAGCTCATTTAATTTAGCTACATTTGCAATATATGTTTTCTTATTTATTAAATGTCAATGAAAACGTTGTAATAAGAGACAAACGCTGGCCCGCATTCATTAGAGACTGCTATACGTTTACCTTATGTCAATACGAATTAGATCTCTCTTTTTAATGGCGGATAAATACTATTAGTAGCTGTGAAAGCGATCTACGAAAAAATGTCCTATAGATATTTAATGTGTTGCCGCTTATTTCTTCACCTGAGGTGAAGATTTATATCCACATTATGCCATTTGTTCAAAAATTTAATTTAAAATTATGTATAAAAGAAAGAAGCTAAAATCAACAAATACTTAAAGAAAATACACTGAAAAGAAAGCGATGCACTTTAAATTCAGCAATTTTAGTATATTTAGTCATTCGACAGTTCGACTTTCGTGCAAGCAACCGTTTCCTCGCAATTGAGAGAAATTGTTCAGTGTTCAGAGTCACAATATATAAATATTCCTACCGGTGGAAT